GAAACATGCCCTACTGTTTTCACTGGGTGTCTGCATTAAGGTAATTTTCCATGATACAGAACAGGTAATCCTGTCTTATAGCAAGCAGATGGAACTCCTTAAAGATTCAGAGGATTATTATATTTTCCCCCTTCTCCTTTTGGTTGCATGAGCCAACATAAATTAGGCCACAGCTAAGCTTTCCCTCAGTAGATAGAATATGTGGATGATAAGCCTAAAGAAGGGGGGAAGTATGCTTCAAAAGCAGTTAGTGGTTTGACCTGGAAGACTGATTATTTAACTACCACTCAAGAGCAAAAGACCATGCAATAACTAGTGGGTCTCAGCCAGGCTGCTTCCCTTGTTTCTGTTGGAAATGCTTTTCATTGAAAGAGAACTTAAGTACAAGGAGACTTGAATACAAGCTGGTGAGTTACAATAACAACTAAAGGACACAAAACCAATGGACTAACTGGAGTGTAGCCTCCTCTTCCTCTTTACAATATAGTAAAGGTCTGATTCTAATAAATGGCCAAGCAGTTCCACCTCCAACTGAAGGCAAGGAGAGTGGCAGATGCTCATATACGTTTACATTAATTTCACCATTACTGCAGCTTGGTGGGCCATAACCTCTCATGCCAATATAAGAAAGCCCTTTACCAGGGGCCAGCCCAGTTACTAAAAAGTGTCGATGAGATAATATTCCCCCATTCTTTAGTATCTCCAGTGTAAGCCCTTGTGTTGCTGCCAAACTTATCTCCTTTCTCTTCGGTATTATGTGATGCTTTACATTGCTAACATTAGCTGTGAAGTATAAATCACATATGTTTAAGTTAGATAAAAATAAATTGAATGCCCTTTGGGGGAAAGGACTGTGTTGTCTTATGTTTCTGTACAGCTTAATGCAACAGAACCCCAATCCTGATGGCCTTTGTCGTACCAGTAATTAAGTATATTACTGTTTTTTTATAAGGCAAATGAATATTTGCCTCATGAGTCCAATTATGGGGAAAAATAGCTGCTGAAACCAAGACCAAATGCACTAGCTGAATTTGGAAAAAAGGAAGTCTGTGCTTCTGGATTCTGCCCTGGACATTACATGTCACAGCACTCACTGAAGAGAAAAAGGACTCCAAGGAGAATAAGAACAATGTGGAAAATCAAAAATAAGATGCTAAGATATCTAAAACAAAGGATTCCTTCTGCTTCTCTGTTCAATAATGTCCAAGGCTGAAGATCTCAGCAGTCTCCCTCTCGTCACATTTTTATACAGAGACAACAGCTCCTTGTTTTGTCTACCTCTGCAAAGTGCATCACACCGATCGCTTTCCTCTTTGCTGTCAGTTTTACCATTTGGGCCATTTTTTCTTGTACAAACCAAGACAAAGAGATGCTCTGGCCTCTTAAGAAACTTCACGTCCATCTTAACAAACTCTCTTGCAGATTGGTATCATATGGATTCAACTCTTCTTTTTTCATGTGAGAGCCTTTCTGCAAATGCTGAATATTAAGCATGTGCTTAAGAGCTTTGTCAAATCAGGGCTATAGTACTCTCAGTTCTCCCTAGTGTCAGGAGTTCAGGAGCTCAGTTCTTGCAAGAGTTGATCAACACCTGGTGGATCTGCTCTCTGCAATCTTCAGTTAAGGCTTTTGTAGGACCTGGTTCCAATAGTCATGCTGGTTCAGGGATAAAAGCAGCTCTACTGTACTCCTAACAGTGGGCTCAGCCTATCTTTTTGAGGACTATCAACTTTAGGTTTGAGCTCAACAACCTAACAACACCAGTGTTATCCCAATCACTTTCTGTGATCACCAGGGAAGCCAGTGGAATTACACCAGTTAGTGGGGCAAGTGAGAAAAGAATCAGGCTGAGGAACAGGAAACTGATAGTTCAGCTGCAGTTTTTAGCCAGCTACTAACTGATGCATACATAATGATACACAAGTACCAGCTTTCTCCAAAAATGGACTTCTTGCCATATCTAAAATCATAGGGTTGCAAGGCCAAGTGCCTTTGCAACATGCATACATGCAGACTAGGTTGCAAGTAGGTACACACAACTTTTTGCAGTTTTCTGGCCTATCGCTGTTTTTTCTGCCATGGGCTTTCCTTGCACACACTTCAGGCCTTCAGCATAACTGATATTCTTGGCTACTGTCCTGGAACCAAGGTAGTTACATTCGCAATTTTGTATGATCTGCTTCAGCCTTTCCCCACAACAAAAATCTCAGCGAATGAGGACATTATCGATGTTAGGTAGCAACATCAAAGAGAAAGAGGAACTTGAAGATATCTGCCCATCTCTCATTAGCTTTCCAGACCTCCTTGAGAGCTATATATCCTCTTATCCCAGCATGATGCTCCTTCACTTTCACATATTTTTATTCTGATGAAAATTATATCTAAAAACTATTTTAACAAACATTGAGTTTCAGGACTTACCTATTACAAGCAGAACTGAAATTAACTGTTAAATTGTGTTTTCTTAAATTCTGACTAGCATGAATCAGAATTTTTATTCAAAACCTAAAAACATGCTTCTATGGGATATGTCATATTGTTTTATGTATAAGCAGCATTTTTCCCTGCGAAAAGGTCTACAATTAAGATGCATGCATACAAAAAATGTATGCAACAAAAAATAATTGAAATTGTTATGAAAAAAAGAGTGAACCAACATTCAATCTCATTAATATTAGAAACTTTTTCTTCCACAACTGTATTCTTTTTGAAGGGGGTGTCTTATGCACTGGAAAATATTCTGTGTGAGGATTAGGTTCAGTGAACAATGTAAGATATTGTGATATTATTGCAAAAATTAACCTCTCATGCTCCAAATTTCTCAGTTGAAAAAAGAAAAAATGGTTAGGAGTGCCATGAAATTTCCTTACTTCGAGATGTCAAATCGAAAAGTCTCTTGTAAAAGAAGACATCATTTACATAGCACTTTATCTCAAAGATATGAAAAGTCACAATCATAATGTACTAACCAGGGTAAAGGGGAGGTGGAAGAGAATGAAAGCCACTCAAAGCCAGAACTATCACTGTCCTCTGAAAATTGCACTAAAATCCTGCCTGGTGTAACTGTATTCCAGTAAAATGCTTCCTGAAATTATGCAGGACACTCCATCAGAGGCAGTAAGTTGGCAGCCGAAGGGATAGTTTAAATTCAAATCAATCAAGAAAAATATTTTAATGTTTTGTTATATTTGATTATATTTTTGTCTTCTATAAGAATAATGTTTATGATGGTGGAATTGACTCCCAGTCACCTGTTTCTCTGGCTCCCAAATACCTCAACCCTGCTTCAGGATTTAATCATACAATAAGCTGTTTATTGTCTGACAATTCCTGTGTCAAGTTATTCTTTAAGTAAACTAGTTTAGCATATGATGTAATTTTGGAGTCACTGACGTAGGTTTTAATTAAATAATCATCATTAACACTTTCTTAATGTCTTGACATGAAAATTTCCAATGGAATAGGATACATAGAATCCACTAAGTGAATAATCTTGATTCTTAACCCCATTACTCTACAGGGGTTTTGGAGTAAAAGTGGTACTGGCCAATCATTCAAACCTAAATGCCAAGAATTACAGCTCAACAGAGAATGGTTTTAGAAAACAATGGGGAAAAAAAAACCTCAGGCAGCCAATTCATACAGACACCCAGATGTTTTTCAAATCGAAATTTGCTTCAGACACAGAAGCAATAATACATTCTTTGATGATCCCAATAATAGAGACAAAATATCCAAAACAACAATTGTAACATATTATTATTGTCCATCCAGTTAAGTCATTCTCATTTGGTTCATTAATATGGATATTTCTCAGTGTATAATCAGTGCACTGTTGAAAAGAAAAATCTTACCTTAGAAAATAAATCAAAGCAACCCAGTCGGCTGATGACACAATATACTTCAGGTAGACGTGGACCTTTTCCACTTGGCTGATAACAATGAAACAGAGATTGAAATTACATATTAATTTTGAGCCATAAGGAAATATACTTATATCTCTAATCAGAGACTTAGCCAGTGATCCACATCTTTTGCGATCCATTTCTCCACCAAAGCAGTTACTCTTGGAAAGCCATCATATTCCTTCCATAAAGCAGGAAACTAAAAGACAAAGAGTGCATATCCACTTTGGAAAACATCACGCAGCAGAGCTGTTCTCCAATATCACTCCAACTCATGACCATAAAGCACATTTAACAGTGGCTGTAACTCATGTCTTGACAGTCCTGGTTCTTTAGTCCCTGCATGGAGGTATGGACACTGGGACTTGCATGGGAGCTACCTGTGGGAAGGGGGAGGATAGGAAGGTGCTGGCAGGTCTATGGTAATATTGGTTCTTCATCTATGTCTTAATATTCAAAGGCTATTTAACTCAGAACTAGCATATTCAAAGAACAAAGCAGTGAGAATCTGCCAGGAGTTGGTTGCTACCAGATTAATTGGATGCTACTTATTTGCAGGTGTGATCAGTAGGATAACTGAAGGCAGTTGAGTGTGGCACCAGCCCTGGGTACTGAATTACAGAGGGCACCCCCACACACTTTCTGTCATCTCTGACCAGGGTGCCAACATTGTTAGTTATGCCTCTGGGTGCAATACATCTGTAATTCTTGTAACAGTTTAGATTATTCAACTATAAATCAAGTATAAATCACACAAGAATAGAAACAGCCATCTAGGCATTGGAATATACATTTCCCTCAAGAATAACTGCTACATACTTATACACACAGGGTCAAACACTTGCAGCTTCATTTTGACTTTGTTCTGTATATCCGCCACATGCAGTGCTAAATCAAAGCATGTAGCCACACACTCGAGGGAACCTAGATCTCTATTACTCAGCAGGAACATTTGTATACAAAAGGAATACAATGCCTCCAGGACCTACCTGACTATAAAGGGGAGAAGGAACCTGTTTTCCAAAAATCTGAGGAGGTGGCATTTCCAAAAGGTCTCATCATTTACCTAGTTAGGCACTGACTGAAGCACTTATACAGATGCAGCTTCACACTCTGTATGCTGCCATTCAGCAATCAAAATGGCAGAGACTTCCTATGGGGCTATCAATCCAGGGAGAGGTTTTGCTGATGTCAGGGAGTAAGATTTCTTAAAGAAAGTAAGTGTTTCCCTTTTCATGCTTGCATACCCATCTCTAAAGTCAAAATTCTTGGCTGAACAAAATAGTAATAACCGTTTAAATATATTTTACCTGGAAAAAAGAATGAGGACCATTTTCACTGACGGCAGATATTGGTCAGTCCCACAGATTACTTTTGGCCCTGGTTCATGCAAGGCTTTAAACACACAATTAACTTTAAGATTTCATAGACATTAGGGCTGGAAAGGACCTCGGAAG